CAAGTTCCGGCGTCCTTGCGGAGACTGATTGGGACTCGCGCTCCGCCGGTGACCACCGCGCCCGGCCGCTCGGTGACGGTCTGTTCCCGGGTGCCCCAAACTAGTTCTCGACGCCAGACTCGCGGCACTCACAGTGCCGAATTTTGGAAGAGCCTTTTTCTTTCTTTGCAGCACTTTACGTTGTACAGGTCTCCAAGGGGTGAGTAAACGGCGTTTGGAGAATGTAAGCCCCTCCACGCCAATTTCCTGACTGCGTTTAGATTGACAACTTGCAATATTGCTCGGAGTTCTCACCCCCGGGAGGTTTTTCTTAAGACGAAACACTGAGTGTGACTGTTCCTTTGGGCAATAAAAGTAACCACATACTGCTCGATTGCTTCTTGGATATTTTATTTCATGTCAGCGCAGCTAGAAGCACAGGCCTTGGGTCTGCAAGCACGAATATGAATCCAGCGACAGGCGTCTGTGCGACCTGCTGACTTTTCCACACACAGATTGATGGCACAGACATAACTGTCTCGTCAACCACACCCATCCCCACAGGAAATAAGACTATCGGTGTCATCTTTGATTAGGAAGGATAAGTTACACCCTGAGCTACTACTTTGTACGACACAGCCTTTATGAGCTGTAGCCACAAATGAAACAAAAAATTTTTAAATGCCGTAATTTGTACCCTAGAAGATGTTATTTTGTTACCCAAATTGCTTTTACTTTGTAGTTAATGATGCTTTCCTTTTTTATATTTTTGGCGATTTGATTTTGTTTAGATCAAGCTTACTTAAAAACTTCTCATGTAGAGGGTGGGGAATACTTATGGATTAGCTGCAGAAGTCTTCCATAAAGTTCTCAGACTGAGGTCTAGGCCAGTTTTACTCTATAACGAAACCTTTTCCCCCTATCCTGTTGGAACCTGGGTTGGGATCAAGCATGGAAATGCAGCCAAAACAGAAGTTGCAAGTTTTAGTGAAAATAGTATTTAACGTGTCACAGGAACCATGGTATGTTTTGCTTCAGGAGGTAATAATATTAAATGTGGTAGGCCTGATAAGATGAGCTTGAAGTATTCCTATTTGACAAGCCAGTTTTTATCCTAGGTCCTGTAAATTAGTATATAGCATTTCAGATTTCAGCATGACCTAAATTCAAGAATGTTGACTGGTTTATATCTTAAAACTAATCATTTAAGCATCGCAGATAGAAGTGAGTCTTTTAGTTTTACAAATTGTATAAGTTTTCAGTTTCATCAGATAACCTCTTTAAAAGAAATTCCTTTCTTTTAGTGGATTGTTTTTAATTTAAACACTGCCACACACACACAAAAGAACTTAAATCAAGCTTTTCTGTATTAAATTTTTTTAATTATATAGTTACCGGAAATACCTCATGCAGGAAAAAAATCATTTACATGCACTTCTTTTTCTTAAGGGACATTCTCATTTTCAAATGTTCTCATTTTTAAAAAGCATTCAAAAATTGATAAAATATTACCACAGAGGAGTTATTGCTCTTTTTTTTTTTTTAAACTACTTGTACAGAACTTGATATATGGGGAAATTATTTACTAGTACAAGTTTTAATTTGATAATAACCCTGCTTATGATTCACAATCTCTTGATAATTTCCGATTATGTAATTCAAATTGAGCTTGTTATATATGTGCCTCTTTGGAGCAATCATCTCAAGAAAAACTTGAGATAATGTACATAGGAGATGTTTTCATTTTAATTTCAATGTAGGAAAAGAATTTTCTCCACTTTTGTTGTTAGTTTATACTGGCAGTATGTGAGAAAGTGCTCAATGGCTATTAGCTAATCAGATTTCTTAGATACTACTGGTGCAAAGATGAAGTATATCAAGCTCAACATAGATTCATATTGCATTGCCAGACTGTCAGTCTGTAATCTTATTACTCGGTAAACTTTTCAGTGCCTGAGCAGAGAGCAGACATGGTGTGCCCTGTCAGTACTTTCTCTGACAGCAGAAGGACTGAGATTCAAATGTCACTGGTCCAGATGAGAAGAATTTTAGAGGAAACGGTTTAGTCAAATGCTGAATTCTTAGGAGGGAAAGTATTACATTAATCTAAGGTAATAATCATATTTTTGAAAATATATAAATAGATGTAGGGATTGCTGCAAAATGTGATTTTTTAAAAACCAACAACAAAGATAATTGAGTTTTTATATATGATATAAAAGCAACTTCAAGGTTATTTAGCAAAATCAAGCTTGTATCAAGGAAAAACATGGACATTGACTTCAGAACACTGGTCAGTATTGCACTGAAAAAGGCCACATGGTTTTTTACAAGGTGAAAGAATATATGTACATATCAAGGGGTGGGGGAGGTACCCTCCACTTCATTAGCATTCCTAGCACAATTGGCTAAATTGAACCTGGAGAACTCATTACTGGTAGGGATATTCTTTACTGGTAGTGATATTCTGAATAGGAAAAGCGTTTTGCCTCTTCAGTCTAGCCTTTACTGAGTACAAAAAGAATGCTGGCTACAGTAAATTATGAGCTTCCTTTTGAAGTGTTTAATAACTAGGTATGTTCTGTCTTCCTGGAATCTTCTTGCCTATTTCTCTCTGTTTCCCTGACTCCTACTTATCCAAAGGTCTCAGTTTAAATATCATTGACTTAAAGGGACCTTCCCTGGGACCCCAGCTGAAATTAAGTACCGTTAGTGTATTCAGTCATATTTCTCATAGTTTGTAATTACCCAGGTATTTATGTGAATGTTTGCTTAGTATCTGGGAACCACTTACACTGAATTCCAGAGAGAGCAGTGTCCATGTCTGTTTTGATCACTGCTGTGTAACTCCAGTGTATTTCATAGCAGTCTGGTAAATATGTACTCAATAAGTATGTTGAGTGAAAATGCTGTTAGAGCTTCTCCTAATTAGAGATTTTGTTAAAATATGAAATAATGTGTGTGTAGGGAGGAGGTGAGGGAGGGGGGAGAGGAAGGTAGATCAACTTGTGGTATTACCATGAAGTGACCCTCAAGTAAGTCCCCTAACCTCCAGGGCCATTGTCTGTAATAATAGGCAGATTAGGCTCAAGATACTTTTTTTTTTCTGGGAACCAGTCTGCTTGTGGGATCCGAACCCTCGGCGGGAGCGCCGCCGCACTCCCAAGCGGTGCACTATAGCAGTGCGCCACCGGGCCAGCCCGTCAAGATACTTTTAATGTCCTATTTTTTTATTCCATTTAACAGTGATGACAGATTACGTTAGCTCATTTGAATGGGATATATGACAGGTAACTCCCCATAAGAATATTTGAGATGTTCCAAATGAACACATTAGAAGTGCTTGCCAACTAGACAATGTTGTCATTATTTAGAACTTCTCATAGCTGTTAGAAACAACCATGTCTAATATATAATTTAAAAATAAATAAGATGTACTCTCGTTTCTGTTTTCTAATTGAATGATAAAGACAAAGAACTAACATACCAATGTTCATATATATTAGTTATTAGATTTCTTTTGATACTTAGTTTTAATACTTTGATACTTAGCCTTAATACCCTACATCTTGTTGCATCTTACAGAGCAAATCAGGGTTCCATAAACAAAATAAGTAGAGGAAAAACAGACGGGATAAGTGGGCAGAAGCTAGTATGATAGCTTCTTAGTTTTTTCTATTTGTGTTCATGCTAAAACTTTTAAAAATCATTTTTACACAAAATTATATAGTATTTTACGAATAGTAATTAGTTCTGGCAAGTTAGTCAACTATAATATTAGACAGTTACTGTTTTGGGCTAATATTAATAGGTAAAGTAAAATGGAAACTTAGTGGGAGGACATCCATCAAAATAAATTATTTAATACAGTGGTATCTTATATTTTGAAGTAGTTAACTTGCATACAGTATTATTCATAGATATTTTATTACTTTATTGTGAGTGGTGTTCAGCTTTTTAAAACAAGTTATAGGGCCGGCCCGGTGGCGCACTGCTACAGTGCGCCGCTTGGGAGCACGGCGGCGCTCCTACTGAGGGTTCGGATCCCACATACAGACCGGTTCCCGCTCACTGGCTGAGCGAGGTGCGGGCGCGACGCCGAGGGTTGCGATCCCGTTGCCGGTCC